ATAAGCAGTTTAATGTAGAAGGAAAGAACATAATTTACGTTCTATTCTTAGATTTTACCATACACCTGCAAAGAACTTAAAATAATTACTGGACAAGAAAATGTTATCTATCTTTATATCTAAATGATGTGCTGTGTAATGTCTACATTATGATCTCCAAAACTTTATCACAATTACCAGAAGGGACAGTGATTAAATTTAAACTTTAGTCTGCTTTGTACTTAGCACTTACTTAAATTTATATCACTAGTTAGAAGTATATGTAAACTCAATTTTGCAATAAAATAAATTAATGTTTTATTTAACATATAACAAGTTTTGAAACAACTTCTGCAGGGTTCTCATGGTTATACTTGTTATCTATATTGTTGATCTGAACATTATCTAGAATAATGATATCTTAAAATCTATTGATTATATTAACATGCTAGAAAGGGTCAATTTTGTTAAGAATGTTTCTCTTATTACAAAGAACCATGAAAGTCGTACTGAGTGAGACACACTATAATATTTTTTTTTTTATCATCTTCAGAAGTACAAGGTCATGCACTTAAATTACAAACATTTGGAAAGGACTTGCCTCTTGTGTGAGTGCAGTATTGGCATTACATTAGAACATGAAAGGATTTTAGATATGTATTTTAATATCTTAAAAACTTCATCTGAATGTTTAGTTGGGCTAGAGAAATAGCAATCAAAAACAGTTCTGAGGAATTTTGAAATTCAAAATTCAAAGATAATTGTAGCCTTTTATAAGAAGGCCTCAAATGAGGATTCTTCTGTAGTTAGGTCACCTTACTACAGAGAGAGATTCATGTGTACTATCATATTGTTGATATAGAAAAGGCTTACAGTTACAGTTTTGGTATTGTTTTTCAGATGCTTGGACAATCTTTTTGTGGGAAGTTTGAGTAATTGATTGAGAATGTGAACCTGAATAATGACTTTAAACTTTTGAAGCCAAGCTGTAGTTATTATTCAACAATTATTATTTTACAGCTATACTTGTAAGGTTTTTTAACTTATGGTATATTTTGCCTATGGTGTATGATATTCATTGTACTTTGAGATATATAAATATATACATGTTAAAGGACTAGGTATTACTTTTACTTTGATTTTAATATTTTGACGAGTTAGAATTATCTCTGAAGTTTCATGCACCAAATGGTCTACTGTTACCTTAAAATCTTAATGTCTTGCATATATAGAGCACAGTGTATAAACTATAATTAAGTTCTAACTTCTGTAGAATATTTGATCCGTAACTTACAAATAATTTATAAGTTATAACCCAGATAATAAAACATGAATAATAATTAAACTAATGTCTTAAAGATGACTATATCATAATGTTTTTGTTTAAACTATAACCAATTTGTAAAAAGTTCTACTTCAGTAAACTATGCTAAGCTTATTTAGTGCGTTTTACTTACGTATTGCAACAGCTTTAGCGTTTAATGTTTCAACAATTTGTACACATTGGTCGATCTTATTTTTGAGAATTTCTGTCCTTTTGTAAACCAGCTTAAACTCGGAACCAACGTCGACGAACACACGCTGAGCAACGTCCACCAGGCTTGCCAGCTGCCGCAGTAGACCAACAAGAGTAAGGTCGACCACAGCTTCGAGCTCATCGTTGATATCCTTATCATGAGGGAGCGGTGTCCGACTTACGTGGACTGGCTCAAGAGCCCACTTCACAAATGGCATACTTCACAATTTATTATATTTTCTATTCCATTTTAAAATAAAAGTCCCCATCTTTTCTGTGTTTCACAACAGCAGTAGAGTTAACGCTATTAAATGATGTAATACTACATGTCGAAAGATTAGGCCTGCTTTAGAGAAGTTGCTCTTAAATACACAACGGCTTCCCAGTGACTCAGGTGCCCAATACGCGGTCTAGGCCTATATATCAGCTTACGTAGAACGACAAAGCTACAAAAAAGGGGGATACTTTTACAGGTAAGGCACCAACAAAAGATTAATAACGCAAAATATAAATTTTCATGTTAGTTAGGATATTTTTCAAAGACTTACAAACCCGATATGCGGATCAATAAATCTCATATAACTTTTTTAAATTATAAATTACATACGTTCATCTGACATACAACTTCCGTCGTAAAGTCTACGCACGCCATTTTTGTTTCTTGTAAACTAACAGAAAATAGAAGGTTACTAGCTTTACCGGGCTGTTCTATGCGTTGGTTACCTCCCCAGCAAACTCGCAAATGGAGAAGGTTTACTGTTGTTGTAGCGAAAGGTTTGTTCAAAACAAAAATTTAATTAATTAAGAAAGAAAGCATTTTAGTTTAAAAAGTTCAGAAAGGTTGGATATTAGAAATGCCATATATTTATGCATTATCATAGAAAAGAAAGAAGTTCAAGGCTTTTGAGAGAGTTTTTGTATGTACGTTTCTTACTCGTTTCTATGTTGTAACCAATTCATATTAACAGAAATTACTGTGATATCTAGTGTCTTGAAAGTTTAAAATTTTCAACGTAATTACTTAAAAGTTATCGGGATTGAATACTAAATTACATGGTATTCAGAACTAACTGGACACAGTAAAGTCATGACATAATATTACGAAAAGGGGATAATATATAATTATTGTTGAAAAAGTTTGGTTAAGCATAAACTAATTTAATATTTCAAAACCACAGAAAGCTATAGATTTCACTATACCAACCGAGCATATTATCGAGCATGTAAATTGTATTTATACTAAGATAACTTAAACTGAATAGTTTTTATTTATAAAAACAATGTTGTAGCTTTTTCAAAAAAAGGAATGTTTGAAAGCTCTATGAGCCGCTAAGTAATTACGCTACTATAAAGTTTCAACCCAAAAATCTGACTACGACCACTAGGAGTCCAGGAATAAAATCCCGAACATTCAATGACCTTAGTCTAATGTGGTAGTTGCGGGGTTTTTTAAATTTTACGGTGGGATGTAATTTGAAAATTAAGAAAACTATTTCCACAAAGGGATGTGTTGTTAGAAGTAATTTTAAAAAGCGTAGTTTTAGAAATGGTTGTTCTTTTTCTACCAATGTTTTGCCAAGGCTTCCGCCTTTGAAAATTTTGGATGAAAGCGTATCTCGATTGAATTTGAACTTCATTTTAGTACTACTTTCTGTTTCAAGGTCAGGGTTCGAAATACAAGATTGATGTGATATGAGTATTTTAACATTTAGAAATCAAAACCTGGGGTCTTTGTATTACTCGTCTAAAAAATTCCGTGTTGACAATGTCTATACTTTTGCTTAATTTAAAATGTAATTACGTGTATTGTAAAAGTAAACAAACGGAATATGTGTCAATTATTAATTATATTACTATTAATATTATTTAATTACTCAAGGTAGTGCTCAGTTGTTTGAAAATTAAAAATATATATATCTTAACAGACCCTCATCTTCCTTAGGAGGTAAAGTGTAATTCGAACACTAAAGAAATGCTTCACAAAAGCTCGTTTTGAAAGTTCGATGAATATGATATACGTAGCTTCTTGGTAAGTAATATTGCAGAATTTGTTGGATATTAAAATGTTGGGATTCTGAGAAAATGTCATTATTTGGATTCAGTCTCGTGTTCAAAAAGATCTTGGTGAATAGGTAAGAGCATGGGAAATGAGTTTCAAAATTGAGAAGTTTTGACTCACTTACTACAGGAATAATACTTATATGTTGGAAGGATGCAGGTTTAAAACTTTAAGTAATTTAAACTATGAGTAAAGGTTTAGTTTTGACACTTAGAAGAGGCTTGATTCAAGTGTTAAAACTGGTAGCGGTAGACATTTGAACAGACATTACTGGATAGTCTATCAGAGTGATACTGATAGAATGAAAACGTTATAAATACAACCTTGAATATTAAAGGCAATGGATTTAAGTATTTAAAGCCTATATAAGGACATGCATGTTCTATGACAACTTTGTTTGTTAGTTAAGTTACAACATTTTGGAATGGTATGATGTGTCTATGAGCAATTAGTTTGAATTATTTTAAAATTTTGTTGGATAGGTATATGGGTATGAAAAGCTGTATTGATGCTGAATGATTATTTTTATGAGGGCAATCTCAATGGATGAAATTTATTACTGTGATGTTCCTCACAGTGGACAGAGTAGGAAGCTGATGGAACTGATAGCTGTTGTGTAACTTTGTGCTAAAAAACCAACAAATATTCTCTACCTGTTGATACCTGCATAGATGACAAATGTAAATGTAAGAGCTAGACTCTGGACATGATTTTTGCTATAATACCCTAGATCCTTTAAAGTTGAGTAGATTGATTGAGATTACAACAATTGTAATATGTTTTGATAAAAATAATAATAATTACTGGGAAAAGTGAAATTCAATATGTTGTGCAGTGTAATTATGGAAATCACAACTGGTAAATATTACAATTTATTTAGTTATTTATATATCTCCAATGATGTGTCAAGTTTCTATGTTTTGTTAAGTTTATGAGAAGTTGGAAGTCCATTAGTAACAGTTTAGTGTCAGGAGTGGAATTGGCAGTTTAAAATGGTGGGAAAACCTAACCATCACTTTTGAAAAAGTTTGTTTGTAATTAAGCACAAAGCTTCACAATGGGCTATCTGTGCTCTGCCCACCATGGGTATCAAAACCCAGATTTTAGCAATGTAAGTCCGTAGACATACCGCTGTGCCACTGGGGGGAGTTTTGAGAAAGAGTGTGTCAAAAAATGGTGAGAGAAAGAATGAAAAGAGAAAACTGTGAAGGAACATTTGAAGATTAAAAACAACAATGTAGTGATTAATGGGAAAAGCCCAGAAAGAACATATCAGGAATATTAATGAATAAAAATATGTGTGTATATATATATATATATATATAGAGAGAGAGAGAGATAGGTGGTGGGGTAGAAGAGGGTGTGACCCAAGAT